TATATATATATATATATATATATATATATATATATATATATATATATATATATATATATATATATTAATGGTATTAATTATTATTTGTTATGTTTGAGCACGCTCTAGATGCATGTATATGCATGCGGTGTACATACAGCAGCAAAGACAGAATCATTACATCTATTGGCATTCCTCTTGCGTAGCAGCAGCAGATAAACAACAGACAGAGATATTAAAAAAAAACAAAAAACTGCTGCTCTGCACCCAACAGCAGCAACAAATGCAACAAACCTCAACAAACAGGAAAACAAGCAGCAATAACCACCTAAAGAATAGCGACAGCAGCAGCAGCAGCAGCAGCAGCAGCAGCAGTCCCACAACAAGGAGCAGCAGCAGCAGCGCAAGGAGCAGCAGCAGCAGCAGCAGCAGCAGCAAGAACGCATGCATGAATAAGGATTCAAAGGCTATAGCTTACAGTCATCTCCTGCAGCAGATACGTAATGCCGCCGTTGTGTGTGAGTTTGCTTTTCGGGACAGTTTTGTGTTTAGGGGGTATAAAGGAAGCGAGAAGCACGAGCTTCTTTGCATGCATTTCTTCTTCATTCATTTGTGTTGAAGTCCATTGAATGATAAGAGAGCCTTCATTGAGTTCAGACGCATAAAATAAATACGCATGAGGTGTATTTACACCTGCTGCTGCTGTTGCTGCTGCCTGCTGCTGAGCTGCAGCCAACAGCTGCGCATCAGCATCACTCAGGGGAACGACAGAGGAGGTCTGGGGGTCGTCTGTTGTTTGTTGCTGTGTCTGCTCTTGTGTTGCTGTACCTTGCTGTTCTTTAGTTTCTTCATTCTTCTCTGTCTCCTGCTGCTGCTGCTGCTGCTGCTGCTGCTGCTGCTCTTGCTCTGGATCCCGCCCTGTGAGCGCAGCAGCTTCTGCCGATGCCCTCTTTGCACAGGCTGCAGCAGTCTCTGCTGCTTGGTGAGCCTTCATGCTGTGTTCTGCTGCTGCTGCTGTTGCTTCTGCAACCTTCTGAGCTGCAGATACTCCTCCTGCTGCAGGTGGGGTGGCGCCGCCTTGGGACTTCATGCAGGCAGCCCCCATCTTCGTGGAGAAGAGAAGAAGAAGGACAGAAAATGTTTTTTCACTGAAAAAAAATTAAATGTTCAAGCCAAAAAAAACAAATGCAGCTGCTGCATGCATCTTGCTACCAGCTGCTCACACCCCTAGACCGGTGTGCGTAGGCAGCCGAGCAATCCAGCAGTCAGAGTACAACCAAAGATGACAAAAAAGAATAAAAAGGAATTAATGAATCAATTGAAGTACTTTTTGCCAAAGAAAACTCAAAAAAAAAAGAAGAAATGATGCAGCAGATGAACGCGCAGCCGCTGCAGGCGGACCGCCGGTGTACAGACACTCGGTTGTTGCTGCTGCTTAGAGCTCCCCCCCACATAAAAACAGCTAAACTGTGCAGAAGTAAAGCATTTAAAGAAATAAAAAGAAAATAATATTATTTAAAATTAATATTTATATTAAATAATCTATTTTTATTTATAGTTTCGCAGCTGTTCTGTTGTGAATGCCGCAGCACCACCACAACGGTCAACTATACCACTAGGGGTCCATTGTATGGCTCTCTCCGGTGTACGTCTTCTTAAGTTTATAAATTACAATAAAAATGCAATCCATATATTAAAATATAATTATTTTTAATTTCCTCTTCCTTTTTCATTCTATACAAAACGCACCGAGACCCCCCCCACCCCCCCCCTATACACCAGTGGTGGTTTGTATGGTGGCAGCCTGAGGCTCCCACTGCTGAGTTTTTTTTTCTGTCTTTTAGAGAGAGAAGAAGCTGTATACACGCAGTTTATATTTTTATTGAAACACTCTTTTCTTTATTTTATAAATATGATATTATGTTGTGCCATAGCCAAGAGGGAACGACGACCCCCCCCTATATACAAGTCAAACATAGCTGGGTCTAGGGTTTAGGGTTTTAGGGTTTAGGGTTTTAGGGTTTAGGGTTTTAGGGTTTAGGGTTTTAGGGTTTAGGGTTTAGGTTTCAATAAAGATGAAGTGTGTGGAGGAGGCATAGCATCTGCTTGCGCAGTGCATGCATGTATGGGGTGTATATACACCTGGTGTATAGACAGTGCTAATATATATACCAGTATTATATAAAACATTTGAATTATAAATTCATTAATATTATAATATTAACGAGATGCAGCTAAATTAAATATTAATTTATAAATACTATTAAACTATATATAATGCGGGTGTCAGTATTATCATCTCTCCTTCCATCTATTTTTATTTTTTTTTAAACAATATATATATTTAAACAATATATATATATATATATATATATATATAAATATTCTATAATATATATAATATATATATTATAAGTGGAGACAGACCTCTCTCTTTCTTGTCTCTATAGGTACTATACACGGCATCGTAAAGTATACAAAACCCACAAATGTTTGTATTTTCTAATTCTATTAAATTTTTATTTTATTTATTTTTTTATTTATAAAGACAAGGAAAATGCATCCACAAACTGCAGCTTCAATTACTTACAACAAACACCCAGCCTTTTACCAAGCAAAATAAGTAAACAAATAAATAAATAAAT